CTGTTAAGGTCATTCCTAAACAACGTTAGCCAACAAAAATGTTCGTTAGTGTCAGATCAAGGGGCCGTTTTGAGGTCACAAACTTACACTCCACACACTGCTTCCAATATATTAACAGATAGGGTGTCTAGAAAACTTTAAGGGCAAAGTTATGTTATATTAGTTTCCAATGAAAGAATTTCAGGGGCATTTATCTACATATAATACTCTTTAGGGCAATTTATTACCAGTGTAACCTGATTTAACTCCATTTTGACACCATTTGTTCAATTAACTTATAGACCAGCCATTAATTGATCGCTTTGACTAACAGTATCCTGACCCAGCAGGAAAAATCACTACAGTAAAAGCCTAAAATATTTATCTCACCTTAATATATATATATATATATATATATATATATATATATATATATATATATATATATATATATATATATATATATATATATATATATATATATATATATATATATATACTAGTGTTATCCTCGGGAACTGAAACAGTTTTAGAATATGAAACATAATTTAATTCATCAAAACATCTAGGTTTCCCTCAACATTCTGTGTTGCTTGTGTCCAAAAGAGGCCATTGAAATTCCCCAACGAAGACAGTATCCATTAAAGTCTTGTTCATTAGCATAATAAAGGATTACAAAACTGTATCCGAACATAATGCATTATGATATTTGTATAATGAGTAATTTAATGAAAGTCGCATTGAGGATATAAATAGCAGACTTAACAAAAACGTTTTTTATTTTGATAAAGTGTGAGAGCGTTCCTCGGTCAGGTCACTTGCGTGGAATGTGATTCATTTTCCGTAAATCTGTTTTGGTGCGCCGCCAGTCCATCGATTAACATCACACCCAACAACACTAACATTGCCGGCATATGTTGCGCCACTACCACTCACACCCCCGTAACTATAAGCTTCACAAGTGAACCTCTTCTGGGCTGAGAAATACAAAACCAAACGTCAGTGTCGTCCAAGTTAACTTCATTCGTAAACGTTAAAGGTGTTTAGTGTATTTTTCTATTCTGAGAACAACACCATCCACCTTGACTATTGGGAGTCAGTTCACTAAGCCGGTCACAGTAAGTTCCAGTTTATTTGGCTTAAGAAACTCCCGAACACTTTGTAGACCTTTTCGAGATTTAAGCACGACTAAGCGAGCTTATCGGCAGTGATTGATACTAAGACCTGGCCGCCAGAACAAACACG